AGTTCATGTGAATGGAATCATACAGTGCATAGTCTTGTGTGTTATACCCTCTGCATTTTTCACTCAACATAATATTGTTGAGATTCACCCACGATGTTGTATCTGTAGTTACTTTTTATACGTAAATGAATTGTATTGCGTTGCATGACCACACCACCTGGATCCATTCTTACTGATGGACACGTGGCTTGTTTCTGGTTTGGGTTGTGAATAAAGCTGCTCTGAGCATCCTTGGACTCATCCCTCCGTGGCCGTATCAAACCGGGTGCTCATCCCGACTCTGCCACTTGGGAGCCGGGAGACTTTACACAGGTCCCTTTTAGATCAGAGTCTCTGACCCTCACTTCCTCACTCCTAAGACACCTTTGAGGTGCACGAGGCCTACCTTCCCGGGTTGTGTAGGACTAAGCGAAACGTGCAGTGAGGCCAGCTGGATGCCCGCCTCACGGTCGGGACTTCATAGATGGGAGCTGGTTGATACATTAGTCCTACTTCAGTGCCTTTGCTCATGTTATACCCTCTGCATAGACTACACTCACCTCCATGTCTGTTTTTAAAGGGGGTAGGCAGGGGTTTCCATAAACCTGACTCTTCCCAGCCCCACTCCTCCCAAAGAGCCAGGCTCCTTCCATGCTTAGAGCCCCCACGCTTCCTGGTTGTTAGTCACTTTCTGCCTGTAGATCAGGGGTGTGTCTACCCTCTTTATCCTCCTCCCCAGGAGACCATGAACCACCTGGGAGCAGGGACCAAATCTGACTCTTCATGTTCCCTCCTGCCCCCTCTGCCATCTCTGTGGGCAAAGGTGAAGGAGAGGAATTCAGCGGAAGGCGGGGCCGGGACCCGGGGAAGGAGCCTGGCCTGGCGGTGGGGAGAGCAGGGCCAGCGCTCTCTGTCTTTTCAGAAACTGACAGTGGGTGCAGCAGGTCCCTGGGTCCTCCCCTGGGGTCCCGGGTCCCTGCAGGGTCCTGCTTGGGGGGGGTGGTGGCTGCAGTGGGCATCTCAGGGCACCTGTTGACGGAAGAACCTTGAAGACAGGTGACCCCGTCCCAGTGTTGCCGCCCAGAGGAACCCTTGGCCACTCACTTTATAGCAGCTCAAGTCTGAGAGTCCATGTGAAGAACCCTTACCTGACCTGTGACCCCTGGCAAGTCTCTGCCCTTCTGGGCCTCAGTTTCCCCATCTATGCAGGGTTGCCCTGAAGGCTTTTGCAGCTCTGACCAAAGAATGTGCCCACCCCCTGCCTCCCGACGGGGGCTCCTCCAGGGGCAAGCACAGAGTGGAGGCACAGGCGGCCACCTCCTCAGGGATCACATTCCCCGCGGGAGAGAGGAGTGTCCCCGAGATGTGACCACATCTTTCTGGGAAACGCCCACAGTTCAGTGCTTTCCGGGTCTGAACTGGAGGACTCGCATCCCCCTGGCTCACATCCCCTTGGATCTATTTTTGGCCTTGGCAGGCTTGATGTGGTGGAGTGTGCGGTGTCCCCTGTAATTTGGGGTCTGAAGCCGGCTGAGGTCCGGACGGGTAATTATGTGTGCAGAGCCATTTATGGAAAGAGCTCTGAAAAAAGTCAGTAATGAGAACTGACTAAAAATACCGCAGCCATGCAGCCTGGGGCTCCTCTCGGCAGCGCTGAGATTTCTGGTGGGAGGAAGCCCTCAGGATGCAGAATCGATAGGTGATCAATTCCTCGGCTCTCCTATGGGCCTGCACCGGCCGAGGGGACCTGGGTCTGTTTTAGGTCTGAAGTGGGCCCGTCGGCCTCAGTTACCGATAGGGCCAGCCAGACAGGCCCAGCCCGTCCGCCTCCGGGACCCTGAGCTGCCCTCTGCCTCGGGGCCGGCAAGTCCCACAGGAAAGTGAAACACATGTGTGGCCTCTGATGGAGACACCGTGACAGGCAGCCTCTCCCAGACCAGCAGCAGTGCCCTCGCCCACAGCTGGGGTGCTGGGCCCTGAGCCACTGTCCTGGGGACCAGGAGCTCTTGGGAAGAAGGGGACGGAGCCTCCTGCTTCCACTTCACACTGCTTGGTCCCTGCCCTCAAATTGCTCACTGTCCATGGGGCAGAGGGGCCCCTGGGATGGGGAAAAGGGCGAGACCAGCATGCTGATCTGTGTGGGGTCAGAGGAGGACAAGGGGCTTTTACAGCTGGACTGAGAGGAAAGCAGCCTTCAGACATGGGATGGGGCCACCCAGAAGACAGTGGCTTTTGGGGGGGCTTGAGAGAGTGTTGGGAACTGGAAAGCCCCGGAGGCCGTGTGGTCGGGCTGGGCCAGCTCAGGAAGGTCCTGGAACACAGAGCTGAGCTTAGGCCCCTCCTGGGGCCCTGCCAGGCTTGGGGGAGGGTTTGAGGGCAGGAAGGACAGGCGGGCAGGTCGGAAGATTCTATTCTCTTAACAGCCTCTCTGGGCCGGAGCAAGAGTGGGTCTTTTGCAGTCTTACTTTTTGGACAGAAACAAGATAGACTTAGGTCATCTGGGTGACTACATTTTCTCCCAGGCACGAAAATAGCCAAAGCCTTTGCTGGTGTCGGGCTGGTGGGTGCAGGGTGTGGCATCTGGAGGTCTGGCCTGTGAGTGGCAGGTGCAGGGCCTCAGAATGTTGATGGTGGTCGTGGCTGTGGAGGCTGCCTCCTGCTCACGGGGGCCCTTCCTGCAAACGTGGGACCCGGACGTTGTGTAATTGGGCTGGAGGAGAAGGCCCAGGGCCCCATTAGCGCACGGTGACTCAGGACTGTTTATTGTTCTGGGAGCCACATTAAGGCAATTCAGAAACTAAATTTGTGTGCTGCTTCCCCAGACAGAAGCTGGTTCCGTGTGTGAACATTTTGGGCAGCCTTTGTAATTTTGTGGAAAATAAACATGTAGAGGTCCCTATTGAGCAAGGCGTAGCTTTGTCTGTCTCTCGTGCCCAATGAATAGCTTCCTGCACATGGCTTCTCATCCTTTGCCACCTTGTCCTTGGGACCCATGTGTCAAAGGATAAATTCATACATAATTTTGCTAGGGTGTTGCAAGAGGATATCGCCAGGTTCCTCTCCACAGCATTCCTACCCGTAACGTGTGTGAACGTTTACGTCCGCTCTTACCTATTTCTCAAAGGGATGCCATACTGACTACCCTAAGAAAAGCACTGCCCACCCCTTTCCCATTACTCCTGACCCCACAACCCTCTCTATTCCACTTTCGATGGATGGCATCCCCTCTTTTACTTGTTTTGTTGTTTATATTCCCTCCCCATTAGACCGTAAACTACATGAGTGCAGAGACCTGACCTCTGTCTTGTTTACTGCTGTATTCCGTGGCCAGACAGACTCTGATCTATAAGACTTTTTAAAAAATCTTCACCCAAGGGTATGTTTATTGGTTTTAGAGAAAGAGGAAGTGACAGAGAGAGAGAGAGAGAGACAGACAGACAGACATATGGATTGGCTGCCTCCCCCATGGGCCCTGACCAGCGATCATACCTGCTACTGAGGTGTGTGCTCCGACCGGGAATTGAATCCACCACCTTTTGGTGCATGGGATGCGCTCTAACCAACTGAGCCACACTGGCCAGAGCCACACAATAAGAATTTGATATATTTGTTGATAAATTGAACTTGATAAAGTAATGAATAAATAAATGAGCAAATGAGTACAGAAAAACGTCACTCAGAGTCTCCCTTCCCCTCCACCCCACGGCTTTGGAATCTCGGACGTGCCCTTAGCACAAAGTTGGGAGATTGCAAGTCAGGTTCATCCTAAAATCCTGTTGAGTGGCCACCCCGCCCAGTCCATTGCTTCTTTACAAAGCCCTTTCATGGCCCCTGAGGAAAGCTGGGCAGCATCTTTATTCCCAGTTCACAGAGGAGGAGACGAAGCCCAGAGAGGAAGTACATGCCTGGTGGGTGCGAGGTCAGGCCTGTGGGGAGCCGCTATAGGGTTAAGCCTCAGGACTGACCTGTTGGCAAAGTCATAAACAAGTCCCAGCTTAGAGGGCACAGTCCTCTTAAGCATAATTAGGCTTGACCTTATAGCACTCCCTAGATCTTACCTGGGAAGCTAATGGGCTGAGGAAGTGCAGCAAGTGGCCAAAACAAGTGAAACTCACAAGAACAGTGTAACTTTGGTAACCACTACCTTGTTTACCTCTGACTATAAAAATAAAGGCTCAGCTTGCCTCGGGATCTTTCTCTGTGGCCTCAGCCAGGCACAGGAAGATCCACGGAGAGCTAGAGAGTTCTGAATGCTGTCTGCGTGTAGAACATTCTTCACTGACTCCATCCACACCTTTGGGAACCCCTGGACCGCTGGGGCTGGACCTGCACTCCAAGCTGCTGAAGCTGCCTCACTGGCGAAAGCAGCTTGATCTGCACAGTTAGCAAGGAGGAAATCGAGGCCAGAACATGTTTTCTCAGAACACCGCCTGGTGAAATACCTCTCCGAGCTCAAAGCAGCTGCAAAAGCTGCAAGTCCACAGGTGTCCTCCTCCCACCCTCCCCGCTGACAAGTTGCTCTCTCTACCCAGTTCCATGCATCAGGAAATTTCACCAACTTTCGATGAAAGCATTTTTGTAACAATGACCCATCTTCCGGGGCTTGCTGGGAGTAGCCAGGGGGGCCGTTTCCTGTGCTGGAGCTACTGCTGGTTTATCAAAACGCAGGACGGAAGTTTGGAACAAAAGTCCGTTAAAGTGAACAAGGTGCTCTTGACCCAGCAAGGGGAGGAGGCCGCACGGCGCGGTGCCCACGTGGAGCTGGCAGGTGTGCGCTGGTTCCCTCAGTCCCCGGATCCAACATGGAAATCAGCCTCAGGCCTGCAGACGGAGGCCCGGTGACCCACCCGTCAGTCCCACTGTGCCTGGGGATAGACGCACATAGCGATGCTTTGAGAGGGTCCGTCCGCTGAAGGGTGTGAAGGAACGACACGCCTCCACTCTCCGTGCCACACCCTGTGACAGCCAACAGCCTGGGCCTATTCCGTCCCTCGGACCCGGGACTCTTACACGGCCCCGTAATGGACTCGGTCTGTGTGGTCCCTGAATCCGCGGGAATTGTCACCAAAGTTGTGCGAGTGCGTGTGTCTGCGAGGACCCTGCCCTCCACGCTCTCGGCCTGTGCGGAAGGACCCCGGTGCCGCCGGTGTCTCTGAAACCGCCTGGCTCCCCGTGGGCATTTGCTGCGTGTCCAGCTTCCTGTCTGGTGATGGACATTCTATTTCCTCTCCTCCCCGGTCTGGGAATGAAACACTCATCTCCTGCCCAAACATGTGTGTCTGCTGGCCCCACCCAGCACAGCTGTTTGCCCGGCCCTCCCTGGACCAGGTTCCCACCACGAGGACAGGACGTGCTCCCCACATCCGCCTCTGCCACCAGCCTGGTGACTTGTGGTCACTGAGCCCAGTAGCCAGAGAGAGACTCTTTAAAAAGACTCTCAGACGTGTCATTAAAATCTCAGTGTTGGGTTTGGGGGAAGGTGCTGGGCGGCTCCCGCCCCTGCTTTCCGGAAACACAGATTTTTAGTGTTTGAAAGTGACAGAAGGCTAAAGTGAGACGGCCCTAAATATACTGTCCTGGGCATTTCCGGCAGCTGGGCATGTGGGATTAATTCTGCACAAGCGGCCTCTTGCCCGAAGTATTGGACCAGGCCCCGCAACGGAGCCACCTCGGGTCCCCCTCCAGCCCATGCTTCACCCCACCTCCACGCACAGCTCCCACACCACACCCTGCTCCCTGCTGCCCCGGAACCCTGGCCCCCCACTGGCCAGAGGCACAGCCATGCTCCTAAGCCGGAACTCCAACTCTCCTCAGTCAGGCCACCGCCAGACTCACAGCCCGTACCCCACCCCTCTGATCTGTGGGTGGCCCTGGCCCACTCAACCTGTGCATTCGATGTCCCCTCTGCCTAGAAAGCCCTCCCTGCCACCTCCCCACCTGCCAAGACTTCGTCATCCCATCCTTTGAGGCCAGTTCAGATGTCACCTCCTCCAGGAAGCCCACCCAGATCCCACCACACCATGGGACCTCTGACTCCCTGCACTGACTGGGCCTCCCCAGGAGCTGTCACTCCCACCTTGCTTCTTGTTCCTTTCCATCTCTCCCTCTGGCCCTCCCTCTTCCTTCAC